TTCTTCCTTATACTCTCAGTGGTTTGGTTCTAAAAGAGATCAACTTGTAGAATAAAAAATATTGCAGAAACATTCGGACAGCACGATCTCTAATTTCTGTAGAAGAGAAAGCTTCAAGACTGCAATCATAGGTTAAAAAAAACAGATTTTATTACAGCAGTTTCCAGCGAAAATCAAATCAGTTTGAGCGATTTTTGCTTTATACACAGCTAATATTGATTGATGTAGATAATTACTCTTGATAATTTCACAGGATCAAAAATAGTCCTTTACAAATGTTCGGTCATATTACAGAAATCTTTCAAGAATTTATAAGTCACACTTCACGCATACTATTGAAATCCGCTTCGACAAAGGAATGCTTTTATTTCTTTCAAAAATTGCTATTGTCGATACAAATCAGTTCGTAATTCATGCGAATTTGCGTGTGACTTGATTAAAGATGTGAGGTCACTCAGGCAATAATGTCTGGGGTATTCTAGATTGGTTTCACGCTCCAAAATTGGACACCAACAGATAGTCTCGGTCATCTATGCCTTGAATCAGCAATGCTCTTGAATCACGATCAACATATCAGTAGTTCATCAATTGCAAAAAGAAACAAGAAATCAAAACAGGACCCTCTCTATGGTGCTCTTCTGTGCTTTCGTATCAAGAAAAGAACAGTTATTACTAATCCGTGCCTGGCAACAATGTATAAGTATCCGCAGTTGATAGAACGACTTTCTTCTTCAACATTCTTGCGGAATTCTTAGACAAATTCATGTTCTTCCTACACAGACTTGGTTCTAGGTTGCACTCTCCGTGCATAATTTGTCGAGCGGCCTTGTTTGACCTGTTACCTAATCTAATCCATCTTGATTGTGCCGAATGATTTTATGTTCCATTTCTACATGGCTCTCGACCAACTAGCGGTTGCCAAGCTCAAGTAAACGAGGACTTTTCCGAGAGGATGCAGAAGAAGAATGATGTTTCCGTCCGCACAAGTGACACTCAGGTATGGTGGATTGATTGCTGGAGTACGTGTATTGAGGACATTTCCAGCAGAGCCTTTCTACTTTGGTGACTTCTCTTTTTTTGTGAGTATACCAATATCCTGCATGGTGCCGATCTGTAGTGATCTGCTGTCAAACGTATTTACACAGGTGCTTTGTTTTCACAAGCGAAATTCCATAAGAAAGAAGACGAATCAATCTAGCGCTGCTTCACCATGCTGCATTGGTAGCGCTATGCCGTTTGACGTGTTAATAGTGTCAATACGCATACCAGGCAGCTTAATACAGTTCGCTGTAGTATACTGCACTGGCTTGCATAAAGTCATGAAGGCATCAAGTCATTTGTAATCGTCATCCAATCCCTTTCTTTGTTCATAGAATCTTTTTGCGAGATCAGAATGCCTTGAGTGCTTTGCGCGAAGTATTGGAAAACATAGACGCGAGGCGCATGGCAAAAGGCTACGTGACTTGTTTGATTTTGGCTTGCAGACTAACACTTCTGCGCGGAAAGCCTCATGGCTTGATCCTTCACAAGTAAAGGATGGTTGGTCGAAGTGGCTTTTCGAGATGGGTTTTATACCATGATGGAGGGCATAAAACGCTGATTCCAAATCTGTCTTCCATATCTGTATCGCTTCCTGGACGTGGAGTTATGAGCGTTAAAGGAGCAAAAAATGGGATAAAAACAGTTGTCAAAATTTTCCCAGCGCTTGAATTAGACAGCCGTAGTGCGGATATATCTCACCTAAGAGTATTTAAAGGCACCGTCCACCCTAAGTTGAGGATGTTAAGCTTTTAGCAGCATATAATAGTAGGGCCCCCTATCAATCCAGTGCCCAAATCGCGGCGCAAAATGCTGCTTCGGAAGCGAGAAAATCGCTCCGGAATAGCGAAGATGCACGTGGACCCCCATCCATGCCCGCCCTTCCCCACCCGTGCCCGCCCAGCCAATCACCGTTTCGGAAAGCCGCATGAGGGTCCTCCGGAACGCGGATTATTGGGGTTTTCGCGGATTCTCAACTTCATAGTCGGAATCAGGGACACGAGAAGGCTCCGGAACGATTAAAACATACAAGTCGAGAATCTGGGTGGACGGTGCCTTTAATTTAGTGCTGGGAATTACCACTGGTCCATTTAAGCGCTACGATAAATGATATAATATTACTACTGTTTCTATATTATTTGCACATTCAATTTTTTTCTCCAATAAAAGCTCATAACTTCTCGTGCAGGAAAGTTAGATTTGGAATCAGCTTTTTATGCCTTCCAAAATGGTATACGAATCATCGCAAAAAGCCACTTCGGCTAACCATCCTTCCCTTGTCAGAGAGACCCCACTATGAACAATGGAAGGAGTGTTTAATGATCACAAAAAATAATGCCATTCATACTATTATGTGAGGTAATGTAGTGATACTAGACGTAGTATCATGCTCCCTCTGCAGCTTAATGGCACTACTCAAAGGCAGCGGTCCGGCAGAATTTCGTTTTCCAGTTCTTCACCTTTTCGGATTCTTCTCGCCATGAGGAACCCATATCTGGGCTTTTCAGCGCATGAAAATGGCAAAAATGCGATTTTTCCGAAACTTTTTAGGTCCGCATTCAGTGAAGATATGCCGGAAAAAGCCGCGGCCCTCCTTTTTCTTGCCTAGCCCCGCCCACTTCTGCACTAAAGGCTGACCTGAAAAGCTTTGGAAAAAGCGCATTTTTGCCATTTTCATGCGCTGAAAAGCCCAGATATGGGTTCCTCGTGGCGAGAAGGATCCGAAAAGGTGAAGAACTGGAAAACAAAATTCTGCCGAGCCGCTGCCTTTAAGGGCCGGGCATACATCACGCGATTTCATCGCCTCGCGATTCTCCCTGCAAGACAACTGTTACGAGTCCATTGCATGCTGATCATTTTGCCATTCGGTTGTGATAGTTATTCGGCGCGACTAATCGCTGACCATTTTTTCCCCGGGCATACTTCCTTCAATGAAATCGTCGCGATTTGCCCGAAACTCAGCGATATCGCGTCGCTGACTTCAAACGAGCGACGCGACCTAATCGCTGAGATTGGACTTCTTTTCTGAACGTTTTTATGCTCGTTTTTTTAGCTTTTTGGGCTGTTTTCTTGCTTACTATTTCAAAAATAGTTCCATTTTGCCAGAGTGCGTTGCTTTTCCGTAAAATGATCCTCTAGTACCCGTTTTGGCGCTATCCGTAACCCAAAATTTCAAAGCCGTGAATTTCGCTCAGACTCGGTCAAGGGGGGTTATTCGACCTGCTGGTGCCGAACATCATGGTTATTTTGTGCGGTAGCGCCATTTTCTGGAGCTACTGTGGGTATACCGTAGAGCGTCAAAATCGCGGATTCGCTCTAAATTTGTTTTTGGGAGAGGAGGTCCCTTAGCGCTGAACATAATTATCATGATGATTACTCAGGAAAGCGCCATTTTTTTGCAGTCTGTGTCAACCATCACAACAATTAGCACTTTTTCTTGGGTCACTAGATACAAAAAAGCTTGGTAAAGACTTCTTCAAGCGAACCGAACACAATATTCGTGAGAGGACCAAATAACTTCACTGCGCAAATATTCAGGCAAGTCTAAGACTTTGACACCCACCATATACTCACCGCAACTCCGAGTGTATGTTCAAAATTCTATACGAGCATGATTTTTGTGATCAGTATGTTGATAACTTCTCTGACGAAATTCCAGCCAAATCCATGGTTTTGTCCCCTGTCAGGTTAAAAGGCTGGCCTTGCCTTTACCTGATGTGTAGCGGGTAGGTACATAAGTCTAATTTACTAATATTTATTATTTAGGATAATTACAGGGAAAGGGGGAAAAGGGGAAGAGGCTGCAGGGGCAACCTGCTGGTCGCGGTCGTCGGGGGTCACTGTCCTCCAGCGAGCTTTACAACCCGCACCAAGAGGAGGGACAGCTGTGATGGCCCGACACCCCTTACGAAGCACAATGATTACAATATTTGGCATCAGTGGGTCAAAGAACCCCCCTGAACCAAGTTTGAGCGAAATCGGAAATAGTGAGGCCCAGATACTGAAATAGAATAAAATTTTAATGTGATCCTGAGGTTGGAATTAATACTGGACTACAACATGAAAATATAAGTGGGAAAATCAAGTCGCGCAGAAGTATGTCCAAGAACAATTAACTAGCGATTTAGTCGCCGCAATTTCGTCGCTACTTGCAGCAAATCGCGACGACCAGGAATCGCGACGATGAAATCGCGTAAACTATGCTCGGCCCTCTACATGCCAGGGGCGGTATGCATCAATCTCCCGTTTTGAAAGCGGGTGATCACTTTCAATAGAAAAATGGTTGCCCGGCCGGGTTGGTCACCCAACCCGTAATGTATGAAGCTGCGGCCAACCCAGCCGGGCAATCATTTTTCTATTGAAAATGATCGCCCGCTTTCAAGACGGGAGATTGATGCATACCGCACCAGGACGCATTGCACGGTACCACCTTTGCACTAACGAGCGGATTAGATGAAGCGGAGGCAAGTTTGTTCGTCTTCCTCTTTATGCGTTTTTAGCCTGCGAAGTCAGTGGGAAAGCGAATAGCTGAAGGATGATAAGGCATTTGCTGAGATATACATAGGGTCCAAATCTCGCAAATTAGGCCTCTGAAGACCACGATAAGTCAAAACGTAAGCTTGAATAAAAGGCTTATCTTTGCACTGGTATAGCGAGATCAACTATGTCGACGTTTCAAGAAAAGGGGACAACTAGACCGGTACTGATGTCCATTTGAAGTTAAGAGGTACAGTTTGTCAGTAGATGCTTCTCCTCATGTTGTTTCCATAGTTGTGATATTTCTTTGGAAGCGCAGGGCTGGTAGGATACATAAATACCAAAAAACTCTAAATGCTCACATACATGCAATCTACCAGCTCCTCATCATGTTTGTAAACTACGTCTTTTAGGAAAAACGAAAGAATCTTCATAATAATCTAATAAATATCTTATGTCTGTGCCTCTTTACACAATCGTAACTAAGCGCATTTGCAAAATTTATTCTATCCTAATAAATAATTAATGGCTTTCAGAAAGCTGCAAAGCACAGTATCACAAACAGAGAAGCCTGTTCTTTACTCGTTCAGGAAAGCGAGCCAGTCATCAGTGGTATTTCTGGAAGCAAAATCAAAGTGAATACTCTTCGCAAAGTAAAATCCAGCTTACTTGTCAACGTCCTCACGTGTCACTTGCTTTTTCCTTTTGAACAGTTCCAAAAACTGCACAGCCGTCGGAGTTGGACCAGCACTTGCCACTGCCACAACGATGTCATCCCTAAAACATTTGAGTAAATTACGGACTCACTCACTTTTTGAATTTTTTTTCCATTCAAACGATCTATCTTCTACGTTAGGCTACATTCACTGAAATACACTTTTAAAACTTTTGAGGTGATTACAAATGTATTTGCCCATCTAAGTTCTCAAAAGTACAGACTATGCCTGATTAGAATACTTGTTTATTAAAGTGTAACTTATGCAATAGTAATCTTACTCACTTCAAGTAGTATTTTGCAAATTTGAGATCGGCCAGGCTACCATGAAGTATGACGTTCGATGAACCTTCGGGGCATCCTGAAACATGCATACATTCAAAAGCGAGAACTGACAGAGAACAGAGCAAGTGTTGCAAAGAATAAATAGAATCAAACCGTTTTCAAATGTGTCACCAAAACAAACCAGCGAGGCGAACGCCGAATTCCTGGAAGAATAACGTCCAGAAGAAAGGTACAATTTGGGTGGGGTACGGTCGTCCGATGATGGAATATGCCAACAAGTGGCCTGAAAGGTAGAGAAGATATCCGGTGTTTATGTCGGCGGCGTGGGAAGGAATGGGGCGACGGTTGCTAGATATAGTACACTCTCTGATTTTCGAACGCTCGATTTAGTCAGATCTGACAGATGGATTTGTAGTAGTTAGGACACTGAAATCAGGTTATACTCGTTCCTGAGATGTTTGCGTACCCAGTAGTGAACCGCAATTATTCAAGTGCTGCTGACTTCTGTTTTGGAGGGAGGTCATACTTGAAAACCTGTAGGAGCATTTTCCGTTTGATTAGTTAATATGAGTTTGTCCGAAATTGCTTGAACTTGTTCAGTAAACCGAGTATCCGATGGCGATCCTCTTGGACGGCCAGGTTGAAACAGATAGAATTTTCAATATTTTCAATACTTGCTTCTTCAATTTTTGCTCAAAAATCAGGGTTTATAAATTTCTGCAAAAAAGATCAAACGACAATCAGTCTGAATTCGAAAAACAAATCGAAATTTCTTTGGCTAAAAAGTAGGGTAACTAAATAACAGCGCGTAAAAATTGTGCACTTATCGCACTCACCGTGAGTTTGCGCTAATTGGAAGTGCTGAATGTTGATGTTCTCTATGTCCCACAGTGGTAGCGGTGCAGTAACTGAATCGCCGATGGCATAAACAAAATCTGCAGTTGTCTGAAAACTTTCAATGGTCAGAAGTCATTTATGGTACAATTTGATATTCAGTAGGTGCAAAGAACTAATTGCATTAGCGAACTACAAATTCTTACTCTGAATCGATCGTCTACTATGATAAAACCGCGGTCGTCCAATTCGATACGGGTACCTTTCAACCATTCCGTCGGTGGCTCGATTCCTATAAATTTTGAGTTAGCGAATCACAGATATGCTCGTTATTTTTAGTCTTTAAACGAAACCAAAGCACCAAACCAACCTATCCCAACGACAACCATGTCTGCGGGAAGTTTTTCACCCGAAGTGAGAACAACGCCAGTGACACCAGCGTCTGTGCCTTCCAATTTCTCGACATTGGACTTCACCAAAACATGCACTCCCTTTTCTTCGAATCGCTGGATTGCGTAAAGTTAAGTTTTTTGTTAGTGGGTTAATATATGCAAAAATTTACATTTCTGATAACGCAGCCCACATCAGGACCCAGCTGCGGTAGCGGCTCGTCGGTGGTGCAGACCACAGTCACTGATGCCGCCGTTTTTGAGAGGGCAGACGCTATTTCCATGCCTAAATTTTTGAAAAATAAAATGTTCATTCACAAGTTATTTCAAACCTATAAATGATCCGCCGATGCACACCACGTTCTTTCCGACAGATTCTGCAGCGATCTTGTTTGCATTGGAAATGTAGCGTAAGGTGTAAACGTTCTAAAATGCATTTAACCCCTCAATACTATCTACTAACAAGGGAGGGTCACGAATTCGAAGTCGCCATTCACCAAACTGCATACAGTTAGTGAGAGCTCGGAGCACTGATATCAATTCTGCTTTTCCTATTTGCAGAGCTTCTGGGAAAGATATGGGCATTTTGAGGCGAAAAAAAAATGAACTAATTCCCAGGATGATACCAGCGTTACGGCCTTTCTAAACGTCGTCTGGAGCAATAGCAAGCACTGATAAACTACGATATCCTCTCAGACATTCGCAGTTAAGTCCCGCCGGAGATCCGCCCACAAAATGAGAATTCGCGAGAAAACCGGGAGTCTTGCGCGACTCCCGGTTGTCCCGACTTTCGGGATTATCCCGACAGTTAAAAGTGGCGGAAGATTACCGGGAGTCGCGATTTCGAGGTATGGTCGGCAGCGTGAAATACGACGCATGGTCAGACTACCCTCAATGTCAACAGCTTTGTATGTGTTTCCAATATTACAGGCAAGAACACTATCAATATGTTGTCTAACGGACAACCTTTGATAGCATCTTGGCGTCACCCAATTTTGAACTCGGACTTGGTTTCCGAAGCTGCTGTATGGTAGCCCTAATTGATCTTTGTTTATGAGCGGGAGTCCCGCCGGTGACCGAATCGCGACATTTTCGGGACTCCCGCAGGAGCTCCCGGTTCTCTCAGTAGAAAACGTGTCGGGACAAAACCGCGTGTCGCGCCGCATTAGCCCGAACGAAAACCGGGAGTCCCGGCTTTCTCGCGAACCATTTCATTTGTGTCCCGCAGTCATTCCGGCGGGACACAACTTTTTCACCGGCGGGACTTAACTGCGAATGACCCTCCCTCGTAAGATTACCCTGATTTTACGCGTACAAGGCGCACCTTTTTCGATTTTTCAAACGTGCCGCTCAGCCGCCTCGTTATGTTTCGGAAAACGAGACTTGTGCCGCACGATACTCTCAGGCAATATACAGCGCTGTATATAGTTTTTTGTTTGCGAAATCCTTTGCCGTGCTTGGGCTGGTCGATTTTCGAAAAAAATCCCCCGAACCTTGTACGCGTGAAATTAGGGTACTATGAAAGCAGGACTCGTGATGATCAAACCTTCAGATCAGCACCAGGGCAGGTGAGTTTCTTTGGCAGACCGCCCAATGCTAACACTAGCCTGCTAAATTGCATGCTATCTCCCGTCTCGAGATTTATTTTACGGTGAGAGAGATCTACACCAGTGACCTGCAACGTTTTCTTAAACCTTCGTTCAGTCTTTATACAATAATTCTACCTTAGCATTCGTGATTACGTCTATGAAATTTTCCTTGTAGTACTCGTCACTTCGCATGCGCGCATCCTTCACGTCTGTAGTTGGTTTCTGCAGCAGACAAATTTGGAGTCTCTTTTTTGAAGATAGAATGTAATGATGACGATGATTCTTTGACAGGAACCTGCTTACCTTACTGAGTAGAACTCTATCATAAGGTGGTGTATCATCCTCAGTGATCATTGTGATTGGTGTGGCACAACCAAGCAGCCTTGCATGTTCAGCAAATGCTTCGGCACCAACCCCTGAAATAGATCAGATGACAATTAGCAAACAATGACTAAGTCAAAACAGCCCCTGTTTTGAAAACGACGAGCAAAAGATGTACACGAACTTGAGGCAAATCATGATGACATAAACTTCGATCTCAACCTCAGAGACTTCAAATTTTAGGGAGTTCTACAGCTCGCAAAAATCGTGACCGGTGTGAGGCATTTGGTTATGACTGTCTCGTTTGCCTCTCATTCTCCAGACAGTAACGAACGGTAGAAGTTGAGCGACTGTGTCTTGATGACAATAAAACAGAAGCGTTTAAGAGCCTTTTATCTTTAACTGCGATTAGCACCATGAAGTGACACTAGAATTTTAAGGAAGACTTGTTGAAAGGGAAACCCGCGAGAAGATATGGGCTAATCATCGAATTGAGTCCCAATAGTAAAAAGCAATCATGTACAATAGATGATTTTTTGGTAACGACCTCATTCGTCGAAAGTATGAGTTTGTAGCGATTTCGTCTCTTTGGTAGGAATAGATTCAGTGTAGATCTTCTCTAATTTTTATCATATTTGAGGTCGCTACAAACTGCGATTAGCACTATATTATTATATTCGCTATGAAATTTTAAATAATATACTATTATAAAAACAATATAATAAATATATTGCATCTGACATGATAGACTTGATAGAAACAAAATCGACAAGTATTACTAATGTTTGTAATTGTTTCCAACGTTAAATTTATGTCCCTTTTAAGAGCGTGCGCAGAAATTTCATCTTATGTCGTCCCGCTATGATCACAGAACTATCAGAAATTCGGGGCATAACTATAAAGCCATTGTGGTTTTTGTTTCTGAGCAGTGATGTAGCTATCTGCTTTCTCTAGCGAAATTAGAAATCTGCTTACCAGCTCCAACGACGATGATTGGCGGCTCATTGGTAGTGGCTGTTACATTCGACTTCCGCGTCCGACGTGAACTTTTCATCGTTTCCTCTGGAGTATTCAGCACCAGATCACCATTGACATCTTTGACCTAAACTGCGGATTGCGCTTCAAATACAACTAGGAAACACCTTTTGTCATTTCTTTTTAGCCTAAAGACGTCGCCATTTAGCACTCTAACACTGTGAGAGATATGACATTAGCTTTTATTTGAATGGTGGACAAAAAACGAGTGCAATTTTTGCAAATGGGTACTTACACAATCATTCTCAAATGTTGCATGTGCACAATTATGGTAAGTAAATTATACTCTGTTCTAGAAGTGCAGCAGCCTTGCACATATGCGACAATTCGCCACCCATCGTGTATCTGAGCAGTTTAGTAGCTTATGATAAATTTATGAAATTTCTGCACAGATCGAAAACGCAATATTGTAACATTCACGGGTATGCCATTTACGGTATATGTTTGAAGTTAAGGCTTTTTGATGTATACACCGAGAAAGCACAGGAACTAGCTCCAGGTTTATGGGACCCCAGTTTTTGGATGTTCGATTGCGCATTTCTTGGACACACAAGTGAAGGAAAGAGATAATTACATGTCAACCTGTTGAAAATCGATAATATAATATTTATCAATTTATGATTTTTATAGGAAATACTTAATTCTGACTTGAAGGAGCCTTTCTACGATCATTTAGACAGGAAGATCGTTATTTACTAGCTGTTGAGAATACTTTATAAAAAACACGTGGCCCTGCTGTGATTTTTTCTGATATTTGTGATTTTAACATGCAGAACCCGAATACAATTTCTTCAAGAATTTGTAATTTCAAATCCTATGCTCATAATTATGTAAACAGTCACGAGATGAAGGCACATGCGAAATTCCTTTGAAATATGATTTGAACACCCGTCTGGTTTGATTTTCCGTACACGCCATTGAACAACCACTCACTAAATTCAGTTCTACAAGCGATGCTGCTATGGCAGCATAGTGGAAAATCTGAAGCAGCACGAGCGTGATTTACATGTTTTCAGAAATTTGTGGTGACCTCACGCAAAAGATGAAGGAAAGATACGAAACTCAGTCTGATAGAGGCCTAAGGCTTGAGATATACCTGACGATGAAGGTATAGCGGGTGTTGGCGAATCGCTGATGTCTGCGCTGCCCTTAGCTGCTCGTGGCTGCTGCGCTGGGTATGCTGTGGGTGCAAGAACGAAGTAGCTTTACCCATTACTATGCTTAGCTTAGGTTATTAAGGAAAGTAAGTCTTGACGATTACCAAAATTGAGAAATAATATGAGAGCCAAAAAAGTCGTACTGTTTTCATCAAGAAATTTTCTTTATAACAAGCATAAAATGGCGTGCCAAATGTTGCATAAACTGAGAAAATTTTAATCATTTGACAGATATCAAGCGAGTGTCACAGTTGAACCTTGATGTGTGCTTGAGGCAACATCTAAACTATCTAGGTCATAGCAGACGTTAATTTGTTGAGGTGTACTAGTAATATCCCACTGAATCGTTTGAATCCTCTAGCTTTTCATCGTTACTCTAATTTGACTACGCAGTTGATCAGATTATTCTTTGTCGACTTTGTCAATTCTTTATCGATTTTCTTATCGATGCATTTGCGTTTCGGTGAAAATTTGTCATAGTTCATCAGTATCGAAACTGCTCTGAAAATCCTTCAGAAGTTCAGAAATATGTTAAAAAGGAGCAAATTCGAGCAAAATCAGCGTTAGCAGCTCGAAGCAGCTGAGAGAAGCTCACAAAAAGTGAGCTTCATATCGCGTAGCAGCGAGGAGCAGCAACGAGCAGCTGGGAGCAGCAGAGAGCAGCAAGAAGCAGCGCAGCATCGCTAGCTATAGCGGGTCTGTTTCGCGTTGGCTGCAGCAGCTAGGAGCAGCAGCGTCGCCTGGCGTCAATCGATACGCACAAAAGACGTTGCTGCACGCAGCGTCTTATCGTCAGCTATAGCCACCCATCGTCAAGTATATCTTAAGCCTAACGTCGAAGGGTCGAATCCGAGGCTTTCGTAGGCTACCCCTTCGAAATCATCACTGGATTGCTCATGCTTACCACGTCAGAGTTCCAAAGAGTAAAATCTAAGTATTTATACATCAAAACACATGTGAGGCAGGATTCAAAGTAGTTTTGGTGATAGAGTAAATCGAAGACTGTCTGTAGGACGCGAGAATAAATTCATTTTTAACACGTTGACGACAACGCGCTTCTTTAGTTGTCTGCCTTGTGGGACAATGCCTTCTACGAATAAATCGAAAATTTCTAGCTAAAATCACCCAGATCGTCATCCAAACTACACCTATACAAATTCTTGAAAGCAGCCAAGAAACGTCAAGGTATCCTCTAGGGTTAGAGCGTAAAAGGCCTCAAAAAACGGATGTACCCAGTAATTGTTATCATTCAAACAAAATTTATGCCGTGTCCCACCATGTGGGTCACATTGTCCCACGTGGCAGTCATTGCATGACCCACCATGTGGGTCACGTTGTCGTCAATGTGATAAAAGGAGCAATAGGGAGGTAATGATCGTGACTTCTCCATGTTTCTAACGACTGTGTTGCACTGATTTTGAATTATGCCGTTATAGAAGTTCCGAATCGACGCCAAAAACAACAATTCGTTGTTTTCAACATTGTTCCACTTTCGTTTCATTCTTGAAAGAAAGCAAACATGTGAAGCAAACGTCATACGAATTCCTATCACATCGTTCCCATCCCAAAAAGCAAAATGTTAGGTTGTCCCATAATTTTTTGATGTTTTGGCGCTAAACAACAGCATTTCTCGAGAACTAGAGCGTTTACAAATGGTACAGATGCATGATCGTATTCTATGTCTGAGCTATGTGATCACGTGCATGGGAGGTGCTCAGGAAGATTGGCGGGTTTTTGCCATTTTACTCCATTCATTTCTTTTCTTTGTTTCTGCCAAGGAAAAAATACGGAAAATGTACGATAGAATGTCCGATGTGTGAAGCATGTATTAGGGAACTTTTTAGATTTTTTGAGGCAGAGATATGGTTTTTGACGGTAAGTCTCGTCTTCGACTCCTATCAGATTTCAGCTGAAAACTTCTGGTGAAATATGATTTGGGCGGGTTCTTCATAGCCATCTTGTAGAGTTTGCTTTGCCCTGTCGAACGATTACTCAAGCCACATCAACTGAAGGAAAGGTACAAAAAGACGACGTTTGTAGTAAAAATGGTAAAAAAAATTATGGGACACCTAATAGTTAATTTCTTTGCGACCGTTGGTATGTAGCAATAAATACCGCGTAGCTCAGGTCAAACTTCCTCTCCAAAGAAGTGGTCTGCTACCAGGTATCTTCATGTTGCATCATAATCAAAGATGGTGGGGCCAGTTCTGGCTTTGACAAGTAAAAATCGTTTGTTTTATGGAGAGAATGTTTTTCAAAAGTGGATTCAGCTAGAAAACGGATTTTCTGACGCTTTTTCCAAAATAACTGGGAATATATCTTTGAAAGTCATAAACAGCTATCAGAGTCTGAAAACATAGTGTTGGTTTGCTCCATCGTTGCCATCTGATTGAAACTGAAAGACTGATCAGAATTTTTATGGTAGAATTTTAACACGAATGAGCAAAAGCTCTATGCGCTCCTACATTAACTGGCTTGCTTTTTTCTAATTTTGAGAAGCAGTGCCTTTACGGTAGTTACACATTTTTTGGTTACAGTATCCAGCATCAAGCTAGAGAAAATTGTTCCCACTCCAAGTTTGTTACCAAATCCTGATAGTAATCTTTCAGAGACAAGCACCTAAATTTTTCGTCCTTTTTTATATACAGCATCACAGCCAGTGAATATCGCTCAGCAAGTGTTGAATGTATGGACTGATGACTGAAGTGCACGACCGATTATAAAAAGCTAATCTCAGGTTTGCTATTTGACAAATGAACGATGGGGAGCCTAGCCCAGTCATCTCCATTGGGTCCCATCAACGAGCTGAATGAGCAGCAGAACAGACACAATCTCTTAGATCCATTTTCCACACAGAAGCTATAGCTTAGTGGGACTACCTCGCAAAACTCTCCCTTCCTTCCAATAATTCAACTCAAAGGCATTTCAAGTAAATCAAGCTCACATCATATGTGAAGATGCTGTCAAAACCAGGATAGTCCTCAATGTCTCCAGTCTTGACGTTGTAACATGATCCATGTAGAGGACAACGGATCTTGCCTTTGAAGTAGACACCTGAAACTAGCTATGCATGGATAATGTTCTGATACCAGCCCTTTCAAACGGTTATCGGTTTCGACGATGTCTTCATTTCATCATTGCTATACCCTCAATGAAAAAAGTCACATTTTGTACTGACAAGAAAAAAATGTGTCGTGATATTGCAGAAAAGAAGTTTTGCCTCACTCGTACATTACCAAGGCAAATGTTTGGCCCCAATATGGAGCAAAGAGACCCGAAGTCTACCCTGTCCCCGTCCTCCAGACTTGAAGTGAGACTCAGCATGGTGTTGTGCTGTTGTAGGCTAGGTCAAAGGGAAGCCCATATGTTTGAATAATGAGTTAGAATTATCCTAGCCTAGAATAGCACAATTCACTGACTGAGGTAGTTTCGAATTTCTTTTCATGCCAGCATTTTGCAAGTTTCCAGTGACCTCGAAATTTTGGCTAGAGTCCAGTAAAAAATCTGTGCATACTGGTTAATGCAAAAGCGGTGGAAAGGTTGCTAAGGTGGAACAAAAGAAAAAAAATCAAAGCAATGCTCAAGCATTTACGACCTCAAATGTCCTCTTTATGCCTATGAGACAAATATCAGCATTATCTGAGCCCAAAATGCTCCTCTCGTTCTTAGCCTTCATGAAGCAAATTTTCGTTCAATCTCCAAATTTCCAGAGCTTCTAAATGAACCCTCCATCACATTTCAGCCTTCTAAAGGGCATACCATGCTTTTTAACGCAGGTCTATGGCATTTGCAGAAGCAGCGAATATGTATGGCCGTCATTAGGTTGTCTTAGGAAAGGATCCCTCAGATGAGCTCTAAATCTACTTTTTTTTTGAACAATGATCCACGTCTGGAATAGAAGAGGAAAGACGCTAGGTTCAAAAATCGAAAATGGACGCAGAGAGTGATGCCAACTTACGTGGTCTATCAACTTACGTGGTCTATCCTATTTTACTATGGTAACGATTGTTTTTTGACGAATTTTTTCATCCACTACGTACAATTTATAAGCAGGTTGCATTAGACCTTCAAGTGATAGAGAAAGAAAAACCAGAATATTTGGAGTTTGGTATATTTGGGGTTGGCATCATTTCAGTAATTTTTCAGAAAGTACCTGTAAGGTAAGATTATCTAATGTGTAGAGTAATTTAAAACTATGAAGTGTACAATAAGTTTTCTTTTTTCCTCCGGTTAGAGATCAGAAACTTACGCAGGGACATTTTTGTCGACAAAAACTTTGCTAGCCTAAATTAAGTAGATCATAAAACTCAAGTCAGAGAATGTCCAAAAAATTTACTGCAACGGTTTAAAGCTCCGGCGAATTTCAACAATTGGAACTAGAGTATTTCTTTGCTTTAACTCTGAATTATACATAGCAGAAAGTTATTAGTGCAGCTACATCGACAATGCGTATGAAGTCTCTTTTCAAAAACCAGAGTTCATGCATATCGATTGATATGTCACGAAGCTACAGTTTTTTAGATGGCACCACGGAAATACTGCGCAAACCGACTATGAAGTGCAATACCGCTCGTAATCTGTGAAAAAAAAATCACCACATTCAACCGGGGGTCCCGAACCTTGGTTGCATCGCCATATCTTTCTTCAGGATGGACGAACTATGAATCCAAAAGCACCATCCAACTCAGCTCGACGAGATGCTTTTTTTGATATATGGAAATGTCTGTTTGGACACGACAATCGATGCCCAAACAGGCACTTCTATATATCAAAAGATGTATCTAGCTTAGTTGAAGGGTGCTTTTGGTTTGAGAATTCGTCCACTCCGAAGCAAGACATGGCAATGCAACCAAAATTCGGCGAACTCCGCAGGAGTGCGGTGATTTTTTTCACCAAGGACAAGCGGTATTATATAATAGATAAAGAGCAGTTTATAGCCAGAAAGTTCTCATATATGCCAAAGGTATCGCACATTCCAAGCCATTTCAATCCTAGTGGCCCACTAACTAAAAATCTGCAAAAATTCAGATTGCTTGTGGACTGGTGTTTATGATTCAACCAGTGGTAGCATATTTGTTTGATTAGAGGATTCTCTCTTCAGTAGCAACCAGACTTCATTGTTAAGATGCAATTATGCTTCAAACACTTCAATCGTACCGTTCTCGAACGGGGAGTTGTAGTGCGCGCAAATTCCGCTAGTCGCATAGAATGTCCCATTATCGTTGATTACCAAGATTGGTTTCTCGCGGACGGTGAAAACCTTCTTCCTAAAAAACAAAGTTGAAGGCGTGCTTACTCTGCAAAATCATGGCAACTGGACTGTCATCCATTGCCAAAGCAATTCAGAATTTTGTGGGAGGCCAATCTCATACGGATACAAGAGCTTTATTACAGGAATCCTGTCCGCTTAGAATCAGCTTATATCACTTCATGTTACACTTTTACCGCGGGCTCATTGAAGTCAGATTTGAAATCCTTACATTTTGGTATTCCTCATTGAACATTTTCCTTATACAACAGTTTAATAGAAGTAAGCTTCGCAGAACTTTTCTTCGCGAATTTTCCACGAGGTTATTTTCCACAAACTCTCTTATAGTCAAACAATGCCATCGGAAATATAATAACTCGTCATACAAAAAGCTCATGACATTTCTGCAACTCGATACTAAAATGGTGACTTGACACCTTTATAGAATTTTCAAGGTCTTTTTCGACCCCTATAATAAATGCGAAAAATGCCGAGCTCCAGCAAGAAAACGCAATGCACATTCAATTTAAACGCATTCAATTTATACGGTAGAAGCCAAGATTCATGAGTGTAATTTGGTTCCTATAATGACTTAGCAAGTAAAAAATGAGCTAAGCGTATAATGTAGATTAGTAGCTAATGGATAGATAGCTTCTCGAGTTCTCATAGTTGCTATAATACAGCTAGAAGATTAGGAAAATATGGTTGTCTTATAAGGGAAAAATCCCGAGTTGCGTTGGCAATCTGGAACGTTCATAGCACTAAATGCACCTCGATAGGCTGATTGCGAACCTACTAGGTTATTCCATAAGTCTTTTCATATTCGAACAAATTATCTCATGAAAGAGCACCTAAAGCCTGCAAATTTGTGACAGCATTTTTTAGTGAATAAGCTATATAATCATACATTTGCGAGGAACACAGAACTGCTACAGAAGAAGTTTGAAAAATCAGCTCATTATTTTTTCATAACATTTAGGCATCAAAAAATGCTGCAAGTTTATGTATAAATCTGAAAGAAAGAGTATATGCGTGAGCGAGTGGGAAATTAGAGTTGTTTTGAGCTGACACACAATCATTTTTGTATTTTTCGAAAATTTGGAGTTCTTTATTTTGGCTTGAAACTCAAGGCGGATCAAACTTTGTGCGAACTTTCGAACGTCAATTTGTAGAGCTTACTTTGATCTGCCAAGTGGTACCGTATCCTATTAGGAATATAATAAGAACTGACTTATGTCACTGAAAATTTACTTATAAAAGGACTTCCGGGACATAATCTCTTCCTATGTGCTGAACCCTAAGGAAAAAATTCAGCAGCATTTGATAATTTGAAGTCGTGGAGAATGGTCTAAATGAATAGGCACGTTGAGTCCAGTTGAAAGAGCTCAATTAAAATATTGTCTTTACCGCTATAAGGAAGGATCTCACATTTAAGTGGCTTTGGTCCGGTAGTTCTTGAATGTACGGCACAAAATGCTTGCCATATTTGGACTGTCAAACTTAACTTCCAGAAAATGCAGATACTAAATAGAATGAGATCAGCTCACGTCAGCAAGACGCATTTAGTGGCTTGCATTTCGTTCCAGATCGTCATTGTACGCGTGGTTAGGCAAAAACTTCGCTAATTTTCGCTGCAGTTATAATTCCGCTCCATATTTACTGCAGAGAGTAAGTATACGTGATATTTTTTACAGCACACGGATGGCCATTTGACATCCTATTATTCTTAACGGTGGCCGAAAAAAACTTACGTTCCTGGCGGCACATCTGATGTTTTGCCAAGCACCTCATTGACGAAGACATTGGTGTCAGGCTCGGCTGCCGAGCAAACCATTCTGCAAAAGAAAGGAGCAGATTCTGGTTTTTTAAGGAACGATTGAGATCGAGATTATTTGAGAGTGAAAAGTAAATATATCAATCATCAAACAAGAAATCGTATCATTAGCGAATACCGATTGTAGTTAAGAGCGAAATCATAAGTTTAGTTCTGTCCCCAACTGGCTGGAAATGTCGAAGTTCCGCGTATAAGAACGAACTCCAAACAGAGACAATCAGAATGGTATGCAAGGCTTGGAGGATTGGCGGCCGGACAGCGGCGCAGTGGCGGCTAATGGCAGGCCTTCAGCAAGAAAAAGGCACTTGCACTCGAGCCTTATGTGTTCGCGTTGGCCCCTTCTTACTGCTGTAGCTATTACAGCCAAAGATTTCAGCGAGGAAAACTTTTATGGGGTCAATCAGACAAGCACAATAGGTCCTCAAGTACCGTAGCAAAAAAAACCGTCTAGAAAGCACTGGTACCGAGAGATACAGACAAGCTAGTTGTTTGCACAGCGGTAATGGAAGAATTTGCTCGAAAATTGAAGAATTGGATTAGTTTCGTGTGCATCCAGAGACGGAAATTTCGAAACGTTTCCCCGCAATGTACAGCAGCCAGAAAAACAATGTATTCCATTAATGGGAAACAGAGGCAATGAGTTTTTGTGGAATTAACTTGCAACATCAAAGTTTATACCCATAAATCATCATGAAACCACATGACTCCTCTTCCAGAATGGTTCATTTTTCACTGGTCATGCATAGTCAAGCACGAAGGAAAAAATTCTGTCATTTCGCAATACTTTTCCACGAGTTTCGCGTCCAGACACGAAATGACTGTTGGTTTGTAGTGAAAAATAAGCAGCGATACATGTTTATAAGAAATCATTATACTCAAGAGGAATGCAGAAAGTTGGATAGTTTTTTTTGAATATTTCGCCTTCCAAAAATAAAAATAACGGAGAGCAAGCCTAAGTTTACAATAACATGTTGAGAAGTCAGAGCTCGTACATCGAGTTAAAAACGGCCCCATAATTGATACTCCTCATGACAACAATAAACGAGGAAAGAAGGAAGTTATGCTGCACAACTTGTCCCTAAGTCTAGATTTCTTATTCGTTTTCGTGCGAAATGACACTGAAGAAAATCTTGGATTAAAAGGACGAAGGGGGTTGGAAAGCTTAATACTTGGTAACCGTGGTAACAGTTTGATAAAAACTTGATTCCACAGCGACGAACTTAGGTCAAAGTAATGCATGTGATTAGAAAAAAGCTTGGAATCGTATATCTTCTTTTTATGCGTCGTTGCAGAAGTCTTCGCATTTCGGCTCCGGAGTCAAACAAGTCATTTGCCTTAAGAATGAGTGGAGCCGAAGTTTCACAATCTTATTTTCAGAGTTCTGAGGAAATGGTAGATGCTAAAGAGTAGTGAGACAGGCCTAGAGAATACCTGGATATGAAGGGGTAGAGGAAATGAATTTGTTGCTAAGAGACTACGTTAGTATGAACGTTGGTAAGTTTTTATGAACAGCTGGAAGCATGATGAATGTAGATAAATGAAGATGAATCAATAAATGAAGAATAGAATTCGTCAGGAGTCCTAAAACGGCATATATTGTAGACAAAATCATCGACAAAGGTCCTCCAATATATTTCTTAACCATAATTGAATATAATCTAATCAGTCCAAGTAAAATGACTTATTGATAGAAATGCGCATAGAATGTAAGCTTGTCCTCAACTTCGCGAACAAAAAAAAAATTCTCGACCGCTCGTTCTTTGAGTCGTCGAGGCAGGCATGATTTGAGTTTGATTATACGCTTGGGTGAATATCAACGTAGATCAAATAAACGGTTATTGCAGAAAAGTAAAAAAGAACAATAAATTGTGAAACTCATTTCAGGATGAATTTATCGCCCCAGAGACTGTAATCTTAGCAACAAACTTGGACATAATGAACGATTCTTGCAAAAACACAACCATATCAGAAGTAATCTCAAGCAATGATTTTGCCATTACACAGTTACATATTTGAGGTTCATTGAGTCAGAGTGCATTTACACAATAAAGGTTTTTATAGCTATACTAACATCATCCATGTCATAGAGAGTTGAACAGCTGCTGCACACGAATGATGAAGTTTGTGTGAACTATGGTTCGATCAAATAGATGGAACGGTAATAGTTAGTAATCATCTATTCAAGTGTGGTAAACAGCTGAAAAAAGTAGTTCTGTACTAGTTAAGGTCACATGTTTTCTTACCAAGTATTATATTAGGTTGAACCGAAAGTAATGTCGCTTTGACTTTGAAAAATTCGTAACTGTTCCCTATGTGAGCTTGTTTGCTTACAAAAAGTATCTTCCGAAAGGAAAATTCAACTAGTTTCTGAAAACATATTTGCATCTCTTTGACGCAGATGACTCCAGAGATAAAAATTAGAAAAGGAGAGCCACTCAAAGTCCCGATTTTCGAAAATAAACCGTCAAAAATCTGAAAGGCTGCAGGAACATCCTCTGAGAGCATGCTTTTTGAGGTAATGTGAGATGCTATTTGTAAGAGTGCCAAAATTGTGTTCTGATCAAGCTTTTTTGTTAGAAATTATTAATTTTGTGAAAAATGCAAAAAACTACGAAAATGGTGTTTTTTGCATATTTCCGCAATCTTCATGAAAATCATAACTTTTCATAGAAAAGCTCGATCGGCAAACATTTGGCATTATTAGAAAGAACAACTCAAAATACTCGTATAAACATGGTCCCAGATTTTGCAGCTCAGATTTTTAGATTTATTTTCGAAAATCGGAAGTTTGAGTGGTTCTCATTTTCGAATTTTTAGCTCTGAACTCCTTGTCCTCAAGGAACCCCGAAGATATAATCACAAAAAAGATGAATTTTTCTTTTTAATGATAGTCTCAATAAATGAATTCATCCACATAGGAAGCAGTTACGAATTTTTCAAAATCAAAGCGACAGAACGTTCGGTTCAATCTAATATTCGCAGAGCGATAATATAGTCTAGTAGTCTGAAGATGATACTGGTGCCCCCGCTCACAGTTTGATCACTGAGACCATTTTTTTTTCAAGTAGCACTTGTTATCAGCGATGGATGTTTAGAGATTCCAAGAATTACTTCAGTTAGAGGAAAAGGTAAAGGTATCTCTACGGCCACCTCGCAATTTTGTAAATAAGTGCAAATAAAAATTGTTGTAGTCAAGTGCATTTCCGTAGCGTTGATGTCAATTGATGTCATGGTAAAAATGCATTTTTTGGAATTGGATTCTGGAATTTGGTAAGAAAATCTGTCGTAATCGTTGCAACCATAATTTGCAAATTTTCTGAATCTGAAGTTTGGATCAGAAGGCAAGAAGTGCATAAGTAATAAGCTATGCCAATTGAGGAGCGAAGAGGAGTTGAAATACCCGCAAAAAAATCAAGCAGTTGTCGCATGCATCACGACCTAAGTTTATCAAAAGCTCAGACAGGGTGTGCTGCTCATCAAGTGATTTGGCTGTAAGGGTAGTAAAATTAGTAGTCTGCTGGCCATTTGCGCGCATTGCAGGTGCCTCCATATGCGTTTTCCTTTGGGGATACGGTAGGTTTAGTACTAACAAAAGATATGCTTGCACATAACGAGCAGCTAATGTCGGGGTAGTCTTGCAAATACCAGCGAATTTTCTTCGCCGACAATCAGCCAGATGCCGGAAACGCGAACTTTTACTGAAAGTTGCCAACACAGTGTTTTGGACTGGGTTTGGCTACTTGCAATAGTTGAGCGCTTGATGTTTTGCAGAATCAGTACTCATTACATTTATTACGAGATTGCGGAATGACTATCAAGCCATTAAAACACATGTGTTGCCTCGTAAAGCATATCGGAGCTTGTGCTAATCTTTGATTCTCAAGAAATCGGGATTTTCTTGTAACTAAAATGAATATTCTATTTCTTCCTGTCCTAGCCGTAAAATTAAATCAGTACTAAAATACAGAGGTTTTTTTTGCAGTTCCTTCAGGTTTCATCGCCGCAACAGGCTCCGAGACTAATGACTGACCCCGTATGATCATTAAGAAAATCTAAGCTTCGAGAAGATAAAGTACTGACAAGTTCAACACATTATGACCATTTCCTCTCGAATCTCTTGAACGGTTTTGGAACATATATTTTTAGGGCGGCTGAGTATCAGATGACGTCAGCGAATTTGTTGTAAAATGAACATTATAGCTTCAGTATCCTGTTTTGTGCGTATGATTCATGCAAAAGTTGCCCCAAAATCAAGCAATACACGAAAACTCTGAAAGATGCTGCCAAAAAATTCCATAACTATGTAGTACCAGCAGTCAGGTGAATGAAGATAGCATTTTGTTAGGACTGTCCGTTTCACCTCTACCAGACCGATTGGAATCTTCTCGGGACAGCGCTGTTAAGAACATTGCAATCCATAGGGTAGCCTGCGGAAATTTGACCGAAAAATCGTAGTTAGCTTGGAGGCTCTGGTAACACTTCCCGAAAATTCCCTGGCGTTGTCTGAGTATAGGGCATCTTATAGCTTAGAAGGTTGACCAAAAAAGATGTAGCACAATGTTGCGGAAATTCAATACTTTCTTGTATTACACAGCTCTCCTGACTACACCTCTCTCTCTGGATATGCGTACTTGCGAGGCGTGCCAAAAAAGTCCATCATATCACCATGGAAAGTACTGTAGAAAACACCTCAAGTTGTAGCATAGGTCGTAAAATCATGCAAGTCTTGTTTCCACTTATAAATGTTTGAAAAACATTTTAATTCTTAAAAAATCTAAATTAGCTCTGGAAACAAGTAGCATTGAGGAAAACCAGGAAATGTAAAGCAAACAGTTGGAGACAGTGGCTATCGCTAACGTCAGTGATGTTTTATTCAAGATAGATTTCTATCCGCCTCCCCTTTCTCCTCCTGCAAAAGTCTCTCGAACCCTCTCCACTGGTACATAAAAGAAGCAATGCAATGGTAACTGAGAAGAATACAGCACGAAATAACTGGCTTGAATGACTTAAAGACAAGTTTTACAAAAGTAGCTCTCTATAACTTAAGATCTAGCGAAGCTAGTACTTTTTAGAGCTACCAGTCAGTTGGCGTCAGATGTGCCAGTACGTAGTTGGGTAACGGGGCATACATTTTTATTGCGATGTATTCTTGACATGATAAGTAATTTTTTGAAAGTGATTCAAATGAAACTACGAGAAAGGCAGACTAGGTTGAGAAAATTGCCCATCTGAAAATTTTCCTAAACTCACGTATTTTTCCAGTTTTGAAGCATCTTGCACTTGCTCGCGTGTACATGAAAAATGCATTTTGCCCTTGTTGAGAAATCGTCCAAAACTGCAGGCCAATTCGCTTTCAAAGAAATACTTTCAAGTCAACTTGGTATTAAATACTTGATATCAATTGAGGCTCGACTGAGTTGGCCAACTGAAGGAGTTATGGTGAAAGAAAAGTGTTAGATGCGATTTTATTGCCGAGCAATTCATTTTACGAAGAACTGATGGAGAAAAAAGAAGAGACGACGGAAGCTTTTAGCTTTCATAAAAGGTTAATTTTCACTAAGGGCTCTCTATACTACGTTTGTTAGTTATTCACCTGCTTTCATGTATTATATGTGCTTCATATGTTCTAGCGGTCTCCTCATTCATAGGGTCAGAATTCGGCATCATACCTGAAAAAGCCTAATGATCGGAGTATGACGCATTGTTTTATTGAGAAGCGGTCAACGAAACCAAAAATTAGAGATTTTGGACTCACTAAAGCAGAAGTTCTTGCTCTAAGAATGGCTCCCACCACTACGAATTAAAATATTATAGTTCTAATAATAAGTTCTATAAGGGTCGTGATTGACAGACCACTAGGGAGGTTCTGATTTGGGCAAGACTATGCAAGGTGCAGATTGCTGGACGATTTGTACTGCACTCACTGATTCTTGACAATGCTCCTGCGCTTGCTCGGATTTTGCAAATATCCTTGCACTATGGGCATTAAGTATCACTGCATATGCGAACTACAAAAGAAGTATGAGTTCAAAAGGCATAGTCGAATTTTCCAATCAGTTCCGAGGAAGGTCAGCGGCCGATGCACGCAACTGGAAGAGAGGATGAAAGAGTGGGGGAAAAATCAGTGGCGGTGGCATTTCCCAATGTCAATCACCTGCCCGTCCTTAACTAAATAGAAATTTTCTTTTACTCAACATCTGAGATAGCCCTTATTTACTGTTTGTTTGCTCCGGCTGAAAGTCCAGGCTAGCCTGTTTTATCCTAGCTATGTTTTATTACCCATCCTGGTTTTCTCACACGGTAACATGTATGAGATAAGGATAAAGGCAAAATCAAGCAAAATTCGGCAGAAAAGAAATTTTTATGTAACCGATAGGGTTTAAGTGCCTGAGTATGCTTGGCTTTCTTCAAAGAAATGATGCTCAGCCCCAAGAACAGCTGAAATAAGTTATAGCATCCAAACATAAAATCCGGTAAAGGAATAAAACAGTTAAGTTTTTTCGCCCACAACGAGCTATTTTGAGGCAAATTTACAAATCTAGCCAAACTAATGGTTGGGACAGGTAAGACCAGAAAGTTAAGACCGAGAATGTGATTCTATCCATAGACTATCGTAAAAATAACTGCACCGTCTTGAGGTGAAGGAGCTAGGCGAAGAGATATGTGGAGAGCTGTTTAACAATCCTTGCTTATAGACACCCCCACTCAAAGTTTTTGCGGCGTCGTATGAAGAACACCAAGATTACATGAATTTCTGAATATATTTGGGAACTTTGACAAGTATGACAGTTTTGTGAGGTTAAGAAGATTTTCGATGGCTTCAGCATCGATGTGAAAACAAAGATAAGACGAAGTTACAATGACTGGACGGTAAGACCAGAAGTGATATCGTTGAGTTTCGCCCCATAAACAACAGAACCAGAGTCTTTCACTCATAAAGTAAATGTTGCGCGAGACGCGAATCAAGATGGAAGTATAAACATAGTCTCTCATGAGTTGAACTTGAACCCCGCAAAATGACGTCATTAGCAAACAGGGGAGTTTTCTGTCGGGGATCTGGACGGCTCGAACTGCACTCGCAACATTGCGAGGAGAGCGAAGAAACGAGTGCCAAGAAGAAATAGGTTTTGAAAGTTATTTCGTCCGCATGAGTTTGCTTAAAGATCAAAATTGTCGAAACATTCCAAAAGAAATTTTTTGTTCTATGATTTTACAATTTTTCTAGAACAATCCTCCGAAGTATGCACAGAGCAGGATTCGCTAGAACAGCTGTCTTTAACTAGAGTCACGCGAGGTTACTTCGATACCTCTCATGTCGAAGTTTTTAGGGCACTAGGGTAGCGCTTTTTTCACTCCATTTCCATTCATATTGATTCACAGCTGTTCAGAAATAAGATATTTTCAAGCAGTTGCCATTTTTGATACTTTCGCTTTTTCTTACTCAGTTAGGTCAATGGAGTAGATTGCAGTAAACGAAATAAACTGCTAGTTTGCCACGTAATTATCGTTTTTGCAATCTTCAAAGTCAAAATACAAATTCTTTCGAAATCAAGTTTTCCCTTGGTAAACTAAATCCTTATGGATTGAGCAACCTCTCGATTATCAAATACTAAGCCCTAGAACGAGTATCAAAAAAGGAGCAAAACAAAATTTGAATGTTTGCTTTTGAACTTGTCCCATTTGACATGATGACGCTCTCTCATAAGAACTAGCAGGCAATTTAATAGCGATCATTAGATAGCGAACAATTCAAAGGTTTTTTGTACCCAAAAAATTCCACCAAGTCTTTGAAGTCTATGAATTTTTTAGCCCTCTAAAAAGAGCCGCAATAGACGTTGTCTATCAGGCATACAGTGTGCCCATCATTTTATAAAATTTCCAGAATTGCTCCTGGCTGTGAAGAGCATTTGATGGGTGCCCCTATCACCTTTGCTTTATTTACCTACAACCTTTGACTCATGGATTGCCCTTATTATTACGAAATATTGATACGAGTAGAACATCTTGTGAAGCATTAGTTTTCGAAGAAAATTCTTCAAGCAAGACATTTTCTAGACTTGAATATCATATATGATATTCGGCGTGTTACACTCTTATTCTGTGGATAATGAAATGGCCTGACTTGGAGGGCGGTGAAGATTTACTTACAGGAACATGTTTTTAGGAGAGATCGTATTTCATGAGTCCTATGCCTGCATTATCGCGAGCATTTCATTGAAAGAAAACGCCTCCTAATGGTAAAAATCATCACCGCAGGACGCGCAAAATTTTCGAGCAGCTGCTTCGAACATCCGACAACGAAAAACCGGGCAGAACTTATGGCAGGTTGGCATAATCGACACGAAAGTATCATAGTTTCGGGTGTACTCCGGATTTTCTTTTGCACCCGGTTAGAAATTCAAAAATACTTCCTCACTTTTGTCGGTCTTTCGGAGTACTGTGGGTATACTGTAGATGGTAGCATGAGTGATTTCATCTGAAGAAGTGCTGAACACTTGGAACATGCTTTTCTATTGTGCAAACCAAGTTATACAGAAGTATGTAGATAACAATCTTGAGTGATGAATTATCAATGCAGAAAGCATGGAATTTATATTGAGAGAATCACAATAAAAAAGTTCAGTATGAATGGTTTTGATGCCTCCTTTTAGGGTGAGAATAGTAGTTTAGAACTTCGAAAAAACAATTTTTGGTCGAACTCCTGTGGTTTTCGAATGGTTTAGGGCTAGCCCTTGCTAAAGCGTCTATGTTAGTCGGTTTCTGAATGCCGGTCATTGACAAGGTAACATTCTCACTAAGACAAAATACTGACGAAGAATGACGATTTGAGAGAATATCTGAATTAGACTACAGAGGAGACCAAATTGAGAACAATTTTCATTTCTAGAAATTCTTTGCAATCAGATGTTTTTCCAAATTTTTAGCGCTTTATTCGCATATCTTTCGAAGTGTGCGTGACAATGCATTTTTTCACTCTTTCAAGAACATATGAAAAAAAATTCGGCCACGTTCGCCGTTCGAAAAATACTTTGTGACTGATACGTGTGAACGACCAAAAGAATAACGGTGTAAAAAATGTTCAGAGCAATCATATCGTTTACCAGTTCGTGACTCGAGAAAGGAGACAGAGGAAAAAAGAAGAGACGGCGAATGAGTTCAGCTCTGCTTACGGATGATGGTGATACGTGTGCGCTTCCTCAAATTCCTTGCACTGTTAGTATCAAACAGTGAGAACTCTCGCCCCCCTCCCCCGAGTACAGATTGCGGATTTTTGAAATTTACTTACATGGGTTATAAAAATGTGCAGGTGACTTGTTTATTCTTGTAAACAATTAAAATATCATTTGAAATTTTTTGAAAATTCAAATTAATGAATCCGCAAAAATTTTGAGAATCGTCCCAAGAAATTTTCGGAGTCCTTCATTTGAAAATTTTTCTTGCCCCCCTCCCTCTTCCCCCCCCCCCCCCCCTTCTCACAATCAGATGGAAATCCTGCTACCGCCACTGGTATCAAAGTATCACAGCATATGGGAGCAACGAAAATTGCGAAAGGCAGCGCCGAAGTTTCAATCAGTTTCGAGTAAAGTTAGCAGCGGATGCACGAAAATAATAAGGATGGAAGGAGTGAAGAAGAAACTGCTCACATATCAGTTCAGCAAAAAAAATGATACAAGGTTACTAATGATGAACTCGATAGCTAAACATTTCTCAACAAAAGATAGCCTTCCGCCAATGTGTCGTAGCTGTAATTAGACCGACAATGACTATCACCCCTATCTCCTAAACAGAAAATTTGTATAGAGAGCCCACACAACCAATGAGGTATCTTGATCAAGGGGAGGAATTTTCGCAGCAAAAATCACAGATACACTCATATATTATTTGTTAAAACTGGTGATACTAGAAGGATGAAGCAGGGGTATATATGCTCAGATGATCGTAAAAATTACTGCTTTGTCGCGAGTGAAGAATGTGAAAGAAAAAGATATGTGAAGAGCTGCTTGACAATCTTTGCTTACGAACAGCATCTCGATTCACTCAAACCGTTCTTAGGATCGTTTGAAGGATACATTACTTGAATTATTGAGGTAGATGAGCAAATTTTAGATAGCTCTTTAAAATATTCAGTCGGAAAGAGATAATGGGTAGACGGAGTGAGACAAACAGCATTCAACCAGAAGTGATATCGTTCGGTTTTGGCCCCCAGAAAACATGGAATTGGATCTTGCCCCACATAAAGTAAATGTACCGAGAAATTTGAGTGAAGATGGGAAAAGAAACATGCATAGTCTCACGAATTGAACTTGAATTCCGGAATATGACGTCAATAGCGAACAAGAGAGTGCTCCGTCAACAATCAAACATTTTCACTCGAACTGCATTTGCAACTCTCAAAAATCTAACCACTAAGCCGCAAATCGCAGGTGAGAAACCACAATATATGCATATCTGTATTCGATTGAGAAGTGTCGTAAAAGATAAATATTCCTGACTGACTTTCAAAGAAAAATTATCAATGAAAAAGAATGTCTAAGGATTTCTCTTTTCGAACACTTCTCATGGAAAACTCCACTTTCTCAAGAAGAAAGAAACTTCAGTAATAGGTAAAAAACCACATCTTCGTATAATTGTATGCCAATATGGAGGTCGGATACGTGCTTCTAAAT